ACAACCAACACCAGTTGTGTGTCCCTCCCGCCTTTCCTTCAACCAGCCCCATTTATTGAGGGGGGGGCTGTGTGCCCCCCCCTTCAATCCGGGGATGCAGCAGCACAACCCTCCCCCTCAGGCCAACCCCCAGCCCCCCCGGGGGGAGGACATAACGATGGCCGTCGTTCTCCCGATGGGGGCTCAGCTCCTTCAGCTGCACATTGCTGCCATGAAGCCCCCCCAACCCCCAAAGTTGACAACGGGGGCTCTTCCCCTGCTGCGCCAACACCAAAACCCCCTCTATCGGTTGTGTCCCCCCCCAAAATAATTCTTCGCCCCCCCCCAATATCATTCCGTCCCCCTTAAACCATGACGAGGCAGGGTGGAAGAGATTGGGGATTTCGGGATCTTGCCTGTAGTTCGGGCTCAATGCCTCGCTGCGGATGCCTAGCAAAACACCTTGGGGGGGGGACAGACACGGGGGGGCGGGGGAATGTCACACTTGGGGTGCCCCTCCTGCTGCAAATGGGACCCCCACACGCACCTGGGGGGTGCAGTAGCCTTTCCGTCCCCCCCCTTACCCGTCAGCACAGCCCAGTGGGCTTTGTGGCCGCGACGGCAGCAAGGTTCGTGGTTACTGTCCTCGTCGTAGCTGGGGTGACGTTAAGGGGGGGTTTAGGCAGGATAGCGGGGTGAATTGGGGTGTGTGTCCCCCAAAAAAAGACAGCAGGATACGGCACGAGGAGGGGGAGCCCCCCAAGGAGGTGACGCAAGATCCGAGGCTGGTTGGACCCTTCCAAACCCCCCGAAAGTAACTCAGCGCGACAAGGGAAAAGCTCCTCAGCCAGCGCCGCCATGTCAACCGCTGCGGGGACAAAATTAGGGGGGGGGGGGCTAGAACACCCGACCCCACCCCAAAAAAGGGTGTGTGTCCCCCCTCACCTTGCCGTACCTGAGAACATCTCGCCCCGGGCAGTGAAGCCGCGTTCCCGCGCCGTCCCCACCAGCTCCTCCAGCCCCACGCCGTGGGTGGGGGCCAGCAGCGACGCCGCCATCCATAGGGCCACCAGCCCGCACCT